GACTGGCCACGTGAGCAGCATGTTCCTGGGTACCTAGGATCACAGAACTCGCTTTTCCACTGTAAATAAACTGCCATCCGAATCCATGAGTTTTATCACTGAGGTGCCATGTAAATTTACATGGTTACCGTCCGAATAGGGCAATAGAGTTAAAAATTAAAATATTTTTTTTTTCTCCTTCTTTTCTTTTCTTTTCTTTTCTTTCATTCTTTCATTTTGACGGTTGAACTCCCTTGCACACAAATGTAACCCATTCAAATTAATTTCAGGGGTTTCAGCTCTTTAGTGCCACTGGCTAATGCCACATCTTGTGCCCTGGCATAAATCAATAAAAAATATTTAATGGATCACATGTTTCCATTGATTGGAACATGAATGGCAGAGGCTTAATTTCTTGTTAATGTAGTGCCGAGGGCTGTTGTCCTGAAAGGATGATATCCTCAGGGAGGTGTTTAGATGTTAATCATGTAGTAGAAGTGGATTGATAGAGGTTTGAGTTGCTGTGTCACACTGTCAACTGTTGTGTTAATGTGCCGGTCTGTTTGACATCAGTTCATAGTCACACCTTAACCACGTTCAGTAGCGCAGTCACAATACTGCAGTCAGAGCTGGTCGCTCAATGCAATTAGAATGCAAAGGTGATGCATAGGCGAATGCCACAACGTTGCTTCAAGGTTATACAAATATTGTAACAGTATTAGCAACACTGGCTTTTTTTCAAAAAGCTAGCAGGCTGCTCTTTGCAGTTTTCTGCCTTGTGTTGGTTTCGTTCATGTTGGGACTCATGCTGGCATCTTCCTCATTTGTTAAACCCATAAAACAGACAATAATAAGATACATTAATATACAAATATATTAAAATCAAATATATTATAATCAAATATTTGGAGTTAACAGACTCCATATAAAGCAAACCATGTGTAAATTGTGTCTGTAGATGACACTTGTAGCTGAATATACAATGCTGAATATAATATTTTTAATCAGAAAATACTGGTCTTGTTCAGTACAATATCTAAACCCACATATTATACACATAATATATAAATGTATGATATTTGTTTTCAGACACAATAAGCAAACATTATTCTGCATTTCTTATGATTTTTTTTTTCATGTTTAAATCATAGCCCTTAAATATTTATAATGTATGCCTTAAACAAATGAGAAAAAAATACCAGTTCTATTAGGACAATATACTAAATTTAAGATATATCCTTTAAAAACGGTTACGAAATGTAGACTAAAACAAATATTATTATCTTGCTATTGTCACGATCTCCAGCTGGAGTGCCTAACTCCATCAGAGGGCACTCCACCTCTGACTCTTGCCACTCTATCCCAGACTACATTTCCCATAATCCTTTGCCGGACTCATCATCTCTGATTGCATTCACCTGTGTCTTGTTTCCTTGTCAGTTTCACCCTATTTATAAGCTGGGCTGAGTTCAGCCCCGACAAAATGGTGCAAAACATGTGCTATGTTATTGTAATATTTACCATTATATAATCAAAGGAGTATCGAAAAGTTTATGAAAGTGTCACTCTACAATACAATAGCAAAATATATAAATACTGTATGTATAGTATTTGTTACATTAATCAGTGTCTAGCACACCTTCCTTAGGAAAGGATATGGACCAGAAGACATTGCAATTACTAAATGATATTTTGTAATATTTACCATTATATAATCAAAGGAGTATCGAAAAGTTTATGAAAGTGTCACTCTACAATACAATAGCAAAATATATAAATACTGTATGTATAGTATTTGTTACATTAATCAGTGTCTAGCACACCTTCCTTAGGAAAGGATATGGACCAGAAGACATTGCAATTACTAAATTATATTTAGACCGACTTAAAGAAGTTCCAGATCTATACTTGTGCTCTTATTATTTCAGTTATTTTGCCTTTAATGTAAATAAACATGTGCAAACAGTGTACTTGCTCTTGTGAATTTATTTAATTACATTGTGCGAGCTGTCTCTTTAATACCGCGTGGTTTATATACATGTTGCTGCTGATTGGGCTGACATTTTTGACACACCCAATAAAACAAGAGAAAACGTATCTCAAACCTTGTTGCACATCGTTTCCAGGAAACATGTCGTTCAAACCGGAAACCGTAGCAAAACGTTGCGCACCAGTTTGAGCTTGGACTTGCCCCTGGTTACCCATTCATTCACTACTGATGCAAAGTCTGATTCATTTCCGCGAACCGGTTCTTTTTGGACAGATCGGCTCATTGAACCGGTTCAAAAAGCCGATTCATCGGTTCCTGACATCAAGCAATAACGTCTCTACGCATTTATTTTCGAAAAATTCAGTGCCATGTTGTATCAATGAAAGATTCAAACATGTCATTTGTGTCAACACAATTTGAAAACATTCAAAAATAAAGTTATTTGTGTGAAAGCATATTGCTGATTATTGCCATATAATTAACTTAAGTTAATGGTGTTTGTGGTCACAGTTTCATTCGCGGATCCTCAGATACAACTGACCGACCAATATTGACTAGCCTACAACTTGGATAAGATTCCTAAAATTTTCACACCTACAGCACACATTACAGGCATTGATGCACAAAATGCGCGGATATGTTCTACATGTCTACAGTAAAAGGATGAATAAACCAGTCTTAAAAACTCCTTGATTTCACTTAAGCAACTTTATAATATGTATGCACAATTAACTACTGTAAAATTTATTTACATCACTCGACAAAGGTTTTTGCAGGTTTTAATAAAAAGTAAATTAATAACAGTCATGATAAGCATGTTTCCAGTATGCGCCTCAGGCTTGCACAGTATCGTCAACTCACTCATTCGAATCTTCGGCAATCCTCGCCAAACTACTTCCTACGAACCGGCTCAAAAGAACGATTCGTTCAAGAACCGAACATCACTATCATTCACTGCTCAGTATTGTCTAGCCTGTAGCGTTCCAGTGTTTCCTGTGTTTTTCCTTGTTTCCGTGCAGTGCCTTGCCTTGTTTTTTGACCCTGAACTGTTATCTGGTTTTGTGATAGTTTGCTGCATGCCCTGACCATTGCTTGTTTATTGGATTACTCTTTTGTCTACCCTGGATTATACCTGTTTGCTGCTGTTTGACCCTGCCTGTTTTGACCACTCTTCTAAATAAAGCCTGCACTTGAATCCTCAACCCCATTGTTACGCGCCCACGTTACAGATATATTGCTTCCCAGATAATTTTATTAAAATTTCTGTATTTTAAGGATATGTTAAAATGTAATTATTTTCCAGTTAGAAATGTACTTACCTTTTAAAACCGTATAAATTGAGATAATTATAAATAGATTATTTGTTTGTTTATTTTTGTCCAATTAATAACATACCCGACAAAGCAAAAAAAAT